ATTTGACACTAAGGTATAAAATAGGAATGACATGGGATATTCATTATAAGCAAGGGTTACATATGGGCATACTTATGAGTCTATGTTAATAATTTCTGCTGACAAAACAACATGTTGTAGGGTAAAATAGCAAAAAATGAAAAAGTAAACTATGTACGGAAAGTTGAGAAGAAAATCAAAAAGGTAAACATATTTCTTAAAATATATATTGTTCTTTTTAAATTTAGTTGTGTAAATTTTGGTAAGGTAAAACAAATGCTTATTTTACAGGGCTTTTCAAATATTAATATTTTGCTCACTAATGATTAAGCATTTGCTTAAACTTTTCCTTATGTCTAAGATAATTTAGTGTATAATATTTTAATAGCATCATTTGTAGTACATAATATTGTTTCAGATATTAAACACTCTTTTGAAGTTGTACCCCACTTTAGGCATTATATAGATACTTTGAAAAGGATTGAGAAGTGCAGTTTAGCACTTCTGCTGCATTTGTCACAAAATGTGAATGCAATTGCTACCAAAGTCGATTACAGCTACACCACGACTTCTACCACCATGTCAAAGCTCTATGTGTGGTCTATTCTTGGAGCTGTAGTAGCAACTGACTCCAGCTCCTTCACAGAAAACTTTGTAGCAGACTATTTGAATATACAGTGACCTGTATACCCTACACTCAACCAGTGGTCACACTGCATACTTGGATGGGCACAATGAACTAAGAACACAATGACTGGGACCCTACTTATAGCACAACAGTGTTTACCTGTAGATGTCTAATTTGAGTTTTTAATGTTATGCATAAGTGTATCCAGCATCGCTTCATGCATGTGGCTGTTGCCATGCCATGAAGCATTATTGACAGGTGTCTTTTTCAAATCTGTTATCACTTAAAGAAAGCAAGACATTACAGTAATTTAATATTTTTAGAACTACCATAAGCTGCACCTCCATGTCTGAGGGCAGGACAAACCCATTGAGCTAAACCTTAAAGGACCACTCTAGGCACCCAGACCACTTCAGCTTAATGAAGTGGTCTGGGTGCCAGGTCCTTCTAGGGTTAACCCATTTTTTTATAAACATAGCAGTTTCAGAGAAACTGCTATGTTTATGAATGGGTTAAGCCTTCCCCTATTTCCTCTAGTGGCTGTCTCATTGACAGCCACTAGAGGCGCTTGCGTGCTTCTCACTGTGATTTTCACAGTGAGAGCACACCAGCGTCCATAGGAAAGCATTATGAATGCTTTCCTATGTGACCGGCTGAATGCGCGCGCAGCTCTTGCCGCGCGTGCGCATTCAGCCGACGGGGAGGAGAGAAGGAGAATCGGAGGAGGAGAGCTCCCCGTTCAGCGCTGGAAAAAGGTAAGTTTTTACTCCTTTCCCCCTTCCAGAGCCGGGCAGGAGGGGGACCCTGAGGGTGGGGGCACCCTCAGGGCACTATAGTGCCAGGAAAATGACTATGTTTTCCTGGCACTATAGTGGTCCTTTAAATGCAACTGTTTTTGCTGTAGATCTAAAAGAAGAAGAAAAAAAAAGACAAATTTGAAGGAATTTGTATTTGTGCCACAACTTGGAAACAAATCCTTTTTGACTGTAAAATGGCACTCAAAAAAACAGACATATTTATTTATTTATATATCTATTACTGGCATTTACAAAACACCAACATATTCTCCTTTATAAATGCCGTTAATAATTCTGTTTCTCCCAGCAAAGACTAGACTGAAAACTAGACTTGGAGATCTATATTTATGTATCGTATATTTAATTATTATATAGTATACAACTATATAAATATAGATTTTTACTCCTACTCTTCTTTTTACCTCTACTGCTTATTTTTTTTTACTTGAGCTGTGAATCAAATGGTACTACAAAATATAAACATTGAATATTAACTTGTTTTGTGCTTGAACTGTATAAATGTATTAAGGAAAATTTATTCATATGTATCGTATTTTTTTTTCCTGGCTATTATTCATGGCAGCATTTAACATATGGGTGAGCTCCTCCCCCCAGCCAATAGGACAAGAATACCAATGAAAGAATTCAATTAATCCATTAACCTTTAGGTATAAGAGATTCCAGAATCCTTGGTTCCCCAGTCTAGTAGCAAACTGATTTGAATTAGGTTAAGGGTGGGAAACCCAAATGCTGCCATGAATAATAGCCAGGAAAAGAAAATTACGGTGAGTATGAATACATTTTCTGGTAGAGTGTGCACGTATACCTTTTGGAACTGGAATACATTGAATCTTATACGCTCTTGAAATAGTAGAGACTGTCCAGGATTGGAGAGTAGACATAGAGGCAGCTTCACCTTTATGGGACTTTCTCCATGGCCTGGATCATTGGATATAGACTAAAAGGCACCTCTTGAGGTCCAGCTTGTGAAGCCTTTCTTCCTCAGAATAAGATGGGTTCTGAAAGTAGACTGGAAGAGCAATCTCCTGGTTTAGGTGATATGGAGAGACTACCTTAGGGAGAAATTCTGGTCTGGAACAGAGAATGTGATAAAAGGTTCTTCCACTGAAAATCCCCTTATGTCTGCCATTCTTCTAGCTGATACTAAAACTAAAAGAAGTAGTCTTCTGTGTCAGGGATAACATGGAAATTTCTTCCAGTGGTTGGTATGGATGTTCCATTAGGGCCTGTAAAACCAAAGGCAAATCCCAGGGACATGTAAAGGCCCATATCGGTGGTCTAATCCTGATTACTGCTTTCATAAAGCCGATCACCATGGGCTTTTCTGCCCATCTGATCCCTGAAATGGCAGAAATAGCAGCACAATGAACCTTAAGGGTGTTCAGACTTAAGCCCCTATCCAAACCCAACTGTAAAAATCCCAATACCTGGGAAATGAAAGGAGATTTTAGATCCTTAACATCCACTTGAAGCCATCCAGCAAAGGCATCCCATATCTTGTAATACGTGGAGGAAGTAGAAGTCTTTCTGGAGCATAATAAGGTGGAATCCACTTCCTTTGGAAATCCCTGTTCCCTTAAAGATTGCCTATCAAGAGCTATGCATGAAGAAGCAGTTTGTGGGGGCTCTGGGTGAGGTCCTTAAGACAGAAGATTCATGGACACTGGAATTTCCCATGGATTGTCTATCACTAGGCTCTTTAAGAGTGGAACCATGGGCAATGTGGCCAGAATGGAATGATGGCTATTATCTTGCACCGTTCTTTGGAGATTTTCCTCAGAAGTTCGTGTATAAGTGGAATTGGTGGAAATACAAACGCCAGATGAAATGAACATTTCACTGAGAGGGCATTTTGTGCTAATGCCTGCGGATGAAAACTCCTTGACATGAAGTATGGAAGATAATAATTCTGAGCTCATCTGACTAGGCCTATTGTGGATGAAAGGAGACTATGATCCTCATAAACTTTCTTGCTGTGGCTGATATCTTGGCTTGGAATTCTTGGATGCGTGAGAGAATATTAAATTTTCTGTTGTGAGTCAGAAAACCCACTGCTAATATGGTGTTGAATTTTGCTCCTAAAAAGACCAATTTCCTGGAAGAAAGAAGTTGACTTTTTCTAGAGTCTGTAGCACTATTACGCGATGTCTCAGTAGTATCTCATACTCTGGAGCGACTATCAGAATATTGTCAAGATAATGGAATATTACAACTTCCTTCTGTCTGAGTAACACAATAACAGTTACCAGTATCTTTGAAAAGGTCCTTGGGCTGTATTAATCCAAAATGGCAGAACTTGAAACTGGAAATGTTGTTCATCTATGCAGAATCTGAGGAATCTCTGGTGATGAAGAGCTATTGGAAAATGGAAGTATGCATCTTTGAGATCCACTGATATCAGCCAGTCTCCTTGATGTACCACCGGTATAATAGAGCTAAGTGAATCCATTCAGAATTTCTTTATCCTCAGATGTACATTGAGCTGGTAAAAGTATAGAATGGGTTTCCATTTCCCTCTGGTTTCTTCACCAGGAAGAGAGCGGAACCTCAAACTGTTTGTTGTTCTGGTACAGGTACAATCACCTGATGCTGTACAGGGAGTGCAGAATTATTAGGCAAGTTGTATTTTTGAGGATTAATTTTATTATTGAACAACAACCATGTTCTCAATGAACCCAAAAAACTCATTAATATCAAAGCTGAATATTTTTGGAAGTAGTTTTTAGTTTGTTTTTAGTTATAGCTATGTTAGGGGGATATCTGTGTGTACAGGTGACTATTACTGTGCATAATTATTAGGCAACTTAACAAAAAACAAATATATACCCATTTCAATTATTTATTATTACCAGTGAAACCAATTTAACATCTCAACATTCACAAATATACATTTCTGACATTCAAAAACAAAACAAAAACAAATCAGTGACCAATATAGCTACCTTTCTTTGCAAGGACACTCAAAAGCCTGCCATCCATGGATTCTGTCGGTGTTTTGATCTGTTCACCATCAACATTGCGTGCAGCAGCAACCACAGCCTCCCAGACACTGTTCAGAGAGGTGTACTGTTTTCCCTCCTTGTAAATCTCACATTTGATGATGGACCACAGGTTCTCAATGGGGTTCAGATCAGGTGAACAAAGAGGCCATGTCATTAGATTTTCTTCTTTTATACCCTTTCTTGCCAACCACGCTGTGGAGTACTTGGACGCGTGTGATGGAGCATTGTCCTGCATGAAAATCATGTTTTTCTTGAAGGATGCAGACTTCTTCCTGTACCACTGCTTGAAGAAGGTGTCTTCAGGAACTGGCAGTAGGACTGGGAGTTGAGCTTGACTCCATCCTCAACCCGAAAAGGCCCCACAAGCTCATCTTTGATGATACCAGCCCAAACCAGTACTCCACCTCCACCTTGCTGGCGTCTGAGTCGGACTGGAGCTCTCTGCCCTTTACCAATCCAGCCACGGGCCCATCCATCTGGCCCATCAAGACTCACTCTCATTTCATCAGTCCATAAAACCTTAGAAAAATCAGTCTTGAGATATTTATTGGCCCAGTCTTGACGTTTCAGCTTGTGTGTCTTGTTCAGTGGTGGTCGTCTTTCAGCCTTTCTTACCTTGGCCATGTCTCTGAGTATTGCACACCTTGTGCTTTTGGGCACTCCAGTGATGTTGCAGCTCTGATATATGGCCAAACTGGTGGCAAGTGGCATCGTGGCAGCTGCACGCTTGACTTTTCTCAGTTCATGGGCAGTTATTTTGCGCCTTGGTTTTTCCACACGCTTCTTGCGACCCTGTTGACTATTTTGAATGAAACGCTTGATTGTTCGATGATCACGCTTCAGAAGCTTTGCAATTTTATGAGTGCTGCATCCCTCTGCAAGATATCTCACTATTTTTGACTTTTCTGAGCCTGTCAAGTCCTTCTTTTGACCCATTTTGCCAAAGGAAAGGAAGTTGCCTAATAATTATGCACACCTGATATGGGGTGTTGATGTCATTAGACCACACCCCTTCTCATTACAGAGATGCACATCACCTAATATGCTTAATTGGTAGTAGGCTTTCGAGCCTATACAGCTTGGAGTAAGACAACATGCATAAAGAGGATGATGTGGTCAAAATACTAATTTGCCTAATAATTCTGCACTCCCTGTAGAAGGTCTGTGTACTGAATCAAAGCCTTCCTTTTCACATGATTCAGGGGTAAACTTGTTTTTATAAATCTTGATCTGGGAATGTCCATGAATTCCAGAGAATAGCCTTCTGTAATAATTGACCTTACACATCTGTCTGGGATCTCTGCCCAGACCCTTTGGAAATGAATAAGCCTTGCTCCCACCAAAGGTGTCAGGGTGTAGTAACCTTCAAAATTGTTTGTTAGAATGAAAGGAAGAGGCTGTAGACAGTCCTCTAGTTGACTTGCTGGTTTGACCACTTCTCCAAGAGGCTTGTCTGTAGTATTCTCGACCAGGTCTGTATACCTTACTCTCTCTATAGGCAGGGTGTTCTCTATAAGAGTGATGTTCTAGTGACAGTCTTCTTGGTCTTCTATCTTGTCGAAATTAATACTTGCTTGACATCCAGTGCCTTTTTGATAGCTTCTTCAAGGGGTTTTCCAAATAACATCTCTTCCTGGAAGGGAACATATCAGCTTTTGGGGCCATATCAGCCTCCCACGATCTTAGTCATAGAGTCATAGAGCTCTTCTGGCTGCTACCGAGAAGGCCATAACCTTCAACATGAACTTGATCATCTCTGGAGGCTTCTAAAAGCCATTCGCTGGCTAATCTGACCTCCCTTAATGAATCTGCAATATGTTGTCTTTTAACACCTTTATCCAAAGTCCTCTTCAATATCCAGGATCCATAATCTTAGGGCTGTGGACATGGCAGATATAGAAACTGCAGGATGACATCCTGTACCAGCTAATGTGAATAGAGAAACAGATGGAAACCGCGCCCTTTATACAATACAAATGTACATACTCGAGTCCTTATGGTCGTAGTCTTCAATAAGCCTCAAAGAGAATTTTTTTTTTTTAAATAATAGTGTAGTATTGTCAGTGCTTAAAAATATAAAAAAAAGCAAAAAGATAAGTGCAAACTCACATTTACCAGAGCTTTTACAGAGCTCTACTGTTGTTGCGCCTAGACGGAATGATCCCCGTCTCTGGATTAGTTTGAAGTGATCGGCCTTTTAGCGTCCTCAAACAAATAACACATATAGAGACATAGAAATCCTTATAGTGTAGTATTGTCGGTGCTTAAGAATATAAAAAGTCAAAAAGATAAATGCAAACTCACATTTACCAGAGCTTTTACAGAGCTCTACTGTTGTTGCGCCTAGACGGAATGATCCCCGTCTCTGGATGGGTTTGAAGTGATCGGCCTTTTAGCGTCCTCAAACAGATAACACATATAGAGACATAGAAATCCTTATAGTGTAGTATATCACAGTATTTTGAAGGAAAATTGAATAGAATGCAAGGTAGCGTACTCACATGTACCAGAGCGTCCCTCGCTCTAGATTCAAAGCGTAGGTGGTATAATCCCCACCATAGGATATGATGACAACCAGGAAATTCAATATAAAATAAAAAGGTGTCTAAGAGTGATAAAAATGTAGTAATTATTTATTATACATAAAAAAACAATAAAACAGAATATATATAAAACTATCACTCTGTAGAAAAGTCCATAAAAAGTCCACTTTACGCGTTTCACCTAAAAAGGCTTCCTCAGAAGTGTGTGGGCAAAGTCCTGGTAATGTCCAAATATATAAAATATTGTATTCAAAGTTATTGGCTTCATCTGTGGAGCATCAATCACTTACTGTTTCCAGATTTCAAAATTGGCGCGCTCGCGTCATACTGGAAGTGACGCGGCGCCATATTGACCAATAAGGTGGTGGGGAATACTTCCTGTTAAACCATCGGTGGAACGCACGCATCATAACGGAAATGATGCGGTTTAACCGCGCCGCGTCATTTCCGGTATGACGCGTGCGTTCCATCTATGGAACGCAGGCGTCATAACGGAAGTGACGCGGCGCGCTGGAGCTATGGCAATGTATGCGTTCCAGCTGTGGAACGCAAGCTGATGCTTGCATAAGAAACAACATTTGTAATAATAAGCAGCTTATAAAATGATTTTACAAGATGATATATATATATTTGAAGAAAAAGGATAATAGAAGGAATCTAGAGTTAAAATATATATTAAATATAACTTATAAAGTTATTCAAGATTTGATTCTAAAATGGGGAGAATCTAATTGCGATTAGTATTCTCATATATGCATGTATATATATATATATATATATATATATATATAGAGGGGAAGAAAACATATGAATGAAAAAAAATATGAATGTAAAAAAAGAAGATAATAAATATTATGTATATATAAATGGAAGTAAACCTAGTAATATTGTCATCAAGTATAACATAACATATAAGTAAACAGGGGATAATTTGCAGACATAGGTAATAGTCATAAAAAACAATGAGAATCCTCTGTTAGATATAACAGGAATACATATAGAAATAACATAAATATAAATATAAGAGCAGGAAAAAAGGGGATAATAGAAATGGGTAAAAATGCCAATTAAAAATAAAAATAAAAGTAAAAGGATGAATAATTACTACATTTTTATCACTCTTAGACACCTTTTTATTTTATATTGAATTTCCTGGTTGTCATCATATCCTATGGTGGGGATTATACCACCTACGCTTTGAATCTAGAGCGAGAGACGCTCTGGTACATGTGAGTACGCTACCTTGCATTCTATTCAATTTTCCTTCAAAATACTGTGATATACTACACTATAAGGATTTCTATGTCTCTATATGTGTTATCTGTTTGAGGACGCTAAAAGGCCGATCACTTCAAACCCATCCAGAGACGGGGATCATTCCGTCTAGGCGCAACAACAGTAGAGCTCTGTAAAAGCTCTGGTAAATGTGAGTTTGCATTTATCTTTTTGGCTTTTTATATTCTTAAGCACCGACAATACTACACTATAAGGATTTCTATGTCTCTATATGTGTTATTTGTTTGAGGATGCTAAAAGGCCGATCACTTCAAACTAATCCAGAGACGGGGATCATTCCGTCTAGGCGCAACAACAGTAGAGCTCTGTAAAAGCTCTGGTAAATGTGAGTTTGCACTTATCTTTTTGCTTTTTTTTATATTTTTAAGCACTGACAATACTACACTATTATTTAAAGAAAAAAATTATCTTTGAGGCTTATTGAAGACTACGACCATAAGGACTCGAGTATGTACATTTGTATTGTATAAAGGACGCGGTTTCCATCTGTTTCTCTATTCACATTTGCTATACTACAAGGTTGGGAATCCTTGTGTCAGTCACTGCTGCCCACTCTCAATTCATCTCGTTTTTATAGTGAGCGCCTAATCTCTGTGTTTTATCTATCATTTTTATTCCTGTTTTAGGCAGCCCTATAATAAAAAATGACATTATTGGAATATCGTGATAATTACAACATCAATATAGATGACATTTTTAATGATTTGGAAGATTTAGATAATCCAATGGACAATGAACCACTATTCATATTCGATGAACCACAAGAGTTACTAAAAGAATTAGAATTCTCTTTAATAAAAGAAATGAAATTGAGGTGGGAAAGAGCCACTTTAACCAAATATATAAATGAAAAAATTACTCCAAGAGGTCTAAGGCTATTTAAAATGCCCACATCAGATACAGACAATAAACCATTTATGGAAGAATGGTACAATCACTTAGAATTTTGCACATTTGGTCTTATGAAAAGTCTCATTAAAGTAAAAAATGAAAAACTTTTGAATTTAGACAAAAAGATTAACAGTTTAAGAGAACAATTAATTCCATTTGCCGACACTGAAGAATATTATAATCAAACACAAAAGATTAAAAAAACAGTTGAAAAAATAGAAATAGACACAAAAAAGATCAAAATCACTAAATACAATAGAGACAGACGAGACTATGCCCAAAACCAAATTCGCACATACAATGCAAGAAAACCACACAATCAATTTAGAAAAAACACCAATAATTATCGTCACACAGACACTGAACACAATTCTTCTAGGTACAAACGACCATTCAAAGAAGTAAAAGAAAGAAATAGATTACAATATAACACATACAATCAATACAGATCTCCAAAGAAATACATCGGAAAATCTCATGTACACTATTGGAACAAATCACCGAATGAAATTTCACACAGAGGTATCTTTGTTAATGACAACAATACAGGGAGTGCAGAATTATTAGGCAAATTAGTATTTTGACCACATCATCCTCTTTATGCATGTTGTCTTACTCCAAGCTGTATAGGCTCGAAAGCCTACTACCAATTAAGCATATTAGGTGATGTGCATCTCTGTAATGAGAAGGGGTGTGGTCTAATGACATCAACACCCTATATCAGGTGTGCATAATTATTAGGCATCTTCCTTTCCTTTGGCAAAATGGGTCAAAAGAAGGACTTGACAGGCTCAGAAAAGTCAAAAATAGTGAGATATCTTGCAGAGGGATGCAGCACTCTTAAAATTGCAAAGCTTCTGAAGCGTGATCATCGAACAATCAAGCATTTCATTCAAAATAGTCAACAGGGTCGCAAGAAGCGTGTGGAAAAACCAAGGCGCAAAATAACTGCCCATGAACTGAGAAAAGTCAAGCGTGCAGCTGCCACGATGCCACTTGCCACCAGTTTGGCCATATTTCAGAGCTGCAACATCACTGGAGTGCCCAAAAGCACAAGGTGTGCAATACTCAGAGACATGGCCAAGGTAAGAAAGGCTGAAAGACGACCACCACTGAACAAGACACACAAGCTGAAACGTCAAGACTGGGCCAAGAAATATCTCAAGACTGATTTTTCTAAGGTTTTATGGACTGATGAAATGAGAGTGAGTCTTGATGGGCCAGATGGATGGGCCCGTGGCTGGATTGG